ACAAAGATTCTTACCACTGGGCCTATTGGCAGCTTCATGATGGATGGAGAAGAGATTGAAATTGTTGATTACTTCAGCTTGCTTGGTTCTACAATCAACACTCTTGACACCAGCAGTCAAGAAATCAAAATGTAAATTGCATTAGGAAAGTCTGCTGTCAGGGAACTCTCTAGAGTACTGAAGAGCAACGATATCAGTCTGGAAACTAAGGTGTGCCTGATCCAGGTGATGGTCTTTGCAATTACTTGATATGCATCTGAGAACTGGATAATGACTAAGGATAACAAGAAGAAGAATCAATGATTTTGAGTTGTGGTGCTGGAGAAGAGTCTTGAACATACCGTGGACCACCAAGAAAACAAATAAGTCTGTCTTGGAGAGAGTCAAACCAAATTTCTCCTTGGAGGCTAAGATTTTGAAACTCGGTCTCACATACTTTGGGCACATGGCCAGGAGGGACAGGTCCTTGGAGAAGGACATCATGCTTGGAAGGGTGGAAGGACAGTGCAGGAGAGGAAGACCCAGGAAGAGAGAACTGACCCAGTGTCTGGAGCAATGGGATTAGGTCTGTTGGAGACAATGAGATAGGCTCGGGTAATGTACATAGGGTCTCTATAAGTCGCAGGCGACTCCATGGCACAGAACAAGTTGAAGTCATTGACAAGGTCAACCTTTTCTCTGCCTATCCTATTGGTCCAGTGGGGAGGATTCCCCCCCATTGATGTTGAGATGGAACCCATCTGTTGTTATGTACCATCAAGTTGACTGCCACTTATAGCAACCCTATGAACAACAAATCAGAAATCTTCCCTATCCTGTGCCATCCTTGTCATCTCCAACACACTTGGGACCATTGCTAAAGACACTATATCAATCCATCTTGTCAAATGTCTTCCTCTCTTGTGCTGACCTTTCCAAGTGTGATGTCCTTCTCTAAGGACTCCTAACAACATGCCCAAAGTATATGAGAAGTTTCACCATTCTTGCTTCTAAGGAACACTTTGGTTTCACTTTCTCCAAGGCAGATCTATTTGTTCTCTTGGCAGACTGTGAGATTTTCAGTACTCTTTACCAGTATCACAGCTCAGAGGTATCAATTCTTCTGTCATTCTTAGTCACTGTTCAACTTTCAGATGTTTAACAAGAAGTTGAGAAGACTTTGGCTTGGATCATGCACTCCTTAGTCTTTATGCTGACATCATTGCTCTTTAGTACTCTGAAGAGGTTCCTGACAATGGTTTCCCATTGTGACTAGTCTTTTGACTCCTTGACTGCTGGTACTAAAGGTGTTGATGTGGATCCAAGCCAGACCAGCTTCCATCCCTTCTCCATCTATCATGATGTTGCATATTCGCCCTGTGGTAATGACTTTTGTTGACACACCTGATCCCACTGCCACAGTCACTGTGTCAGTCAATCTCATCCAGGGTCTTCTTCTCTTGCCTCTACCCTTCCAAGCATGATGTCCTTCACCAAGGACTGGTTCCTCTTGGCAATAATCCCAGAAATGAAATGAAGTTTCAAAATCCATGCCTCCAAAGAGCAACCAGATTTCACCCTCTCCAGGACAGAACTGTTTGCTCTCTTTGTGGTCCATGGCATGTTCAATACTCTTCTCCAGCACCACATCTCAAAGGCATTGATTCTTCTAGCCTCATCTTTAATCATTGTCTAGCTCTCAGATACATAGAAAGTAATTGAGAAGACCATGACCTGGGTCAGGCACACTTTAGTCTCTAGACGGACATCATAGCTCTTTAACAATCTGGAGAGGTCCCTGACACCAGACTTTCCCAAAGTAATGCATCTTTTGATTTCTTTTTTTTTAAATTTTTTATTATATTATTTTTACGTGTACCGTCAAATCAGATCTGACTGGTACAGGAGGAGATTGCCCCCTCCTTTTCCAGCAGAGCATCTGGTGGATTTGAACTGCGTACCTCTGGGATTGCAGTGCAGCGTCTTGCCACTAGGTCACCAGAGCTCCCCATCTTTTGATTTCTTAACTGCTTAGTGCCAAGAGTGTTGATAACAACCCTCTATTAGACCCAAGGGTGTAAATCTTTGCTGTTGTTATGTGCCATCAAGCTGCCTGCAACTCATAGCAACCCTATGTAAAACAGCTCCGAACCCTGCTCTATCCTCAGCCAAGTTTATTGTCTTTGACACACCTATTCCCATTACCCCAGTCACTGAGTCAATTCATCTCATTGAGAGTCTTCCTCTGGATCCGGCACACCTTAGTCTCTAGACTGACATCATTGCTCTTTGGTACTCTGGAGGTGTCCCTGACAGTAGACTTTCCCAGTGCAATTTGTCTTTTAATTTCCTGGCTGCTGGTGCCAAGATAGTTGATTGTGGAGCCAAGCAAACTAAAACTGTTAACAATCTGAATCTCTTCACCATCATGATGCTGCCAACAGGCCCAGAGGTGAGAATCTTTGTTTTCTTGATGTTGAGCTTCAATCCATATTGAAGGCTGCAGTCCTTGACCTTCTGCAGCAAGTGCATCAGTTATCCCTCAGTTTCAGCAAGCAGGGATGTGTCATCTGCATAATTCAGATTGTGGATGAGTCTTCCTCCAATCCTGATGCTACATTTCTCCTCATAGAGCCCAGCCTCCCAGATGATCTGTTCTGCAAAGAGATTGAAAAGGTATGGTGATAGGACACATCCCTGGTGTACAGAATTGATTTTAAACCATGCAGAGGCAGCTTCGCCCATTCCCTTGGAACCCCATTTTACACAGAAGAAAATTAAGCCTCTGAAAGCCAGAACTACTTGATCCAGGATCCAAAGCAAGGGAGCGATCCCACTGAAACCTGGCCTCATCATCACACTCCGGAATGACCATCAGCTTGGGCACTACTCTCCTTCCAGCGATGTGACGCATAGAGGGTCACCTTTTATCTTCTGACACCCTGGCCCCCCATCCTGCTGCTGCCAAGTCAGTCGATTCTGACTCACCACGACTCTGTGGGACACTCGGTCATTGTCATGAGTGGGGACCCTACAGCTGAGCCTCCATTGAGTTTCCAAGACTGTAAATCATGTGGGAGGAAATTGCCCGGCTTTCTCCCGCTACGCCACCAGCGCTTATAGGGTGCAGAAGTTAGGGTCTCCGGTGCTGGAAGCCCACTGCCTCGTCTTTCTCCTGGGGAGGAGCTGTGGGGTTTGAACTGCCCACCTTTTGGTTAGCTGCCAAGTGCAACGACTGTTATGATGATAATTACGCTTTTTATAATTATATTAAGATGAATTCTAATCATGTAATCATTGTTAATGATAATTATTTAACAACTGCAGTAACGGTTACTTATTAATTAATAAAATAGATTTAATAATAATGACTTAAACACCCTGAAATCGTTTCAATTGTATGCTAAAATAGTCTCAAAAACTCACTGGATCAAGTCAGAAGTGACACACAGCTGACTCTGGGGGGTGTTTTGCAGGCTGTAAATTGCATGAGAGGAGATTTCGCATCTCTCCCGAGGCATCTAGTAGATTCAAAGCACCAAAGAGGCGCCACTTTGTGGGTTTGCAGGAGAACTTGCAAGGGGCCAGGACACCATAGCTCCCTAAGTTAACGTAATTAAACCTTAATTCACAGTATTGAAATGACAGCAGGCCACGCCCAAGGAGACAGTTCTGCCGTAAAGCAACCCTGTGAGCCGCCCACGAGGTTTCCATGGTTGTGAATCCCTGCAAGCGCTGGCCTAGCTTTCCTCCCGTTAGAGCAGCTAGTGGGTTTGAACTACCAAACTTCTGGGTGCCAGCTGGGCATTTAACCACTATGCCATCATCAAGGCGCCTTTCTAAAATCCTGAGGAAAGTTCTCAGCACCTGACTGGTGGCATTGTTGTGTGCTTGGCTCCTAAACCAAAGGTTGGCGGTTCAAGTCCACCAGCTACTCAGTCTCCACGAGTAAAGATTGACAGCTGCCGAAACCCAGTGGAGGATGGCTCGTCCGCCTTTTTGGTTTACCAGCAAGATGAGCCAGGAGTCACAGAGAACTGGCTGGCCTGCACCATGCCCAGCGCTGAGCCGGCAGCTGGATCGTGGGTCTGAGCTGTGACAACAGCCCGTGTGCCTTCCCATCGCTTCAGCCCAGCCACCCTCCCCAGTCCGGGTGCCCCTGGGGCAATTATGGTCGCAGGACAAACTGCTTGGCGATGTGAGGCAACCTGGTTTAATTTAAACCTTCACTGGGACAAGGCTTCTGGCAGGAAGCCATTGAGTGAGAGGACACGGCCAGGCCACGGTCAGAGCTTTCTCCCCAGTCCTGTCCCAGGACGGGGGAGGGGAGGAGACAGGAGCCGGCAGAGCCCAGTTGCCATTAACGGGGAGTCCACATCATGTGCTTAGAGCCCCAGGTCCCCTGAATCCTGTGGACCAAGGGAACCAATGCGGTCATGAAGCACGAGAACAGGTTAGTTTGAATCTGTTCTGTATTTATTAAACACTTCAGATCTGGCCCAGAGCTGCATAATGCTGGGCAGGAGGGACTCTGTCCCAGGCCCTGGAGCTTCCCCACATCTGAGGAAGACTGAGATGGACAGAGATACCATCTCCCCTCTAGGAGGGGCCAGAGGGGAGATGGGGGACGGCGTTTCAGATGGAAAAGGCAGCACAGGCCGGGAAACCCAGGATGTATTTTGGGAAACATGGGCCAAAGGGATTGGGAGTGACCCTGGAAGAACCTCAAAGAGCACCCCAGAAGGTGGGATGACTTTGCCAAGTGGGGTGTAGTGTCTCCTTGACTCTGACCCGAGCCTCAGTGGGACGCAGCCACCTCCAACAGCAGCCGGCCTTTCACGGCATCCGGCCCAGTGCAGACCGTGTCCTTCCTGGAGAACATTGTGTCGTTATTGGCCACCACCCAGCGGTAGAGGTCATCCAGGCCTCTGTCGCAGAGCCAGGGATTGCCAGAGATGTCGAAGCCGTGCTTCATGGCCCGGGTCGGCTGCCCCACGGACGCCCAGAGCCCCGCGGGCAAGCCGGCCAGCAGGTTGTTGGACAGGTCCAGCATGTCCAGCTCCCAGAGGCCCCGGAAGGCGCCGGCAGCCACGATACTCAGGCTGTTGTTCTGCAGGAAGAGAAGATGCAGGCGGGGTTGGGGTGCCAGCAGGTCCTCACCCAGCGCCCTCAGCCTGTTCCCCTCCAAATGCAGCCGCTCCAAGTGCAGCGGGCCCTGCAGGAGGTCAGGGGGCAAAGTCTCCAGGCGGTTGTGGCTGAGGTCCAGGATTTGCAAGGCCGTGAGGTTAACCAGCAGCCCTGGGGGCAGGCGCTGGAGGCGGTTCCCAGACACGTCCAGGTGCTTCAGGGACCTCAGGCTGCTCAGGCCCGGCAGGGCTTCCAGAAAGTTCTCCTTCAGCACCAGGGTGCGGAGGGCACCCGAGGCCTGGAAGAAGCTAGGGGGCAGCGAGGTCAAGGCATTTCCGGTCAGATCAAGCACCTGCAGGCCGGGCACAGGCAGCAGGAATCCAGCTGACAGGTTCCTCAGCCCATTACTGGACAGGTGCAATTCCTGGAGGTCGGGGACACCCTGGAGCAAGTCGGCCGGCAGCTCGGTGATGTTGGAGAACTCTAAGACCATATAGTCCACGTCGGAGGGGAAGTGGATGGGGGGCTCGGCCAGCGAGTGGCAGGAGACGGAGCTGCTGTTCCCCGAATTGCTCACCGCACAAGCCCTGAGGCTCGGGGTCCACACTGCTAGTAGCCACAGCAAGAACGGGGTTCTAGAAAGAGAGGGGCCAAGGGCCCTGGGCTGCAGGCAGAGTTTATAACGAAAAGGGCTGCCTACTCCCTCTTTACTCCAGTACCTCCACCTGGGCCCCATTTCTCCTGGCTCTCACCTCTGACCTGGCAGCTGCCAGAAGCCAGCCTCTGTTTTAGGGAATGTTCTATGAAACATGAGTTTCTTGTATTTTTAAAATTTTTCTAAAAAGCCAGTCAAAGTCAGCAGTGGAGAATTGTATACCAACGTTAGTTGCACTAATATGAACAGTTTCTGATAACACACTACCATAGGGCCAGTTGAAACATGAGTTTCTGAAACAAAATCTTAAACATCGCCCTTCCCCTCTTTTCAGTTCAGCCCTTTTTATTATTATTGTTTTTGTTATGTGCCATCAAGTCTCCTGAGACTCATAGTGACCCTATGTACAATAGCTCTGAACTCTGTCCTATCCTGAGCCAGTCTGTCTCCGACCCACCTGCCCCTATTACCACACTGTGTCCATCCATGTCCAGGACACCATACTGGAGGGACAACACAGGAGAGGGAGACCCTGGATGAGTTCATCCCGAGTGGACCATTAATGATTTGTAGGCCATCATGCTAGTTCCTTCTGACTTAGCTAATTTTCTGTGCCAGTTTTTTTTAATCCTCCTTGCTCAATGTTTCAAAGGCTGAGCTGGTGAACTCCTACTCATCCTGCAAAGCCCCAGTTCCCATGACCCCTTATCAAAAGCAGGGCTCTCAGCTCCTCCCTCTGGGCTGTTCCTCTCTCTTTCTAGCTCTGACCACACAGGTTTGGACATTTGTGTCTGGCTTCATCTCTCACTGAGCATGGAGTATCCTTGAGGGAAGGGCCCCTGCATCTGTTGGCATATAGCCTGGTACAACGGGATATTCATGTTGATCAACTGGGTGACCTCTAACAACCCAGGGCTCCAGATACACACGTGGAAAGTATGTGTGCAGCAAGCCTGGGGGTGGGCACTTGACCTTGGGAGGGGATGGTTGACAGCTGCCAGCCCATCTGGGGGTCTGGAGATTCCCTCCTTTAATTGGTCCCTTCACCAGTGGTAACGCTGGCCCAGCAGCACCAAGCCCACTGCAGCCCAGGTACTCCTTGCCTGGCAGGGCTTCTGCAGGCATGCACACAGGAGTCAGACTCTGTCAACCTGCCTCTGCCCTTGCCCTCCACTCCCGCCCCATGGTTTCAGTTAGTCAGCTTGTCCCTGTATCTCCACGCCTGCCCTCCTAGGCGTGGTGGGACCTACCTCTGTATTCGCGAGGACATGGTGACCCTTCTCTCTTCCTACTCTGTTCTTTTGGCCTGGGGAAGTGGTTTTATACCTGCCTGGGTCCAACCCAGGGGAACCAATGATGGAGCAATACACATCCTATCCCATTTCTGCTCAGATTTGAACTTGAGCCAGGCAGGAGGGGAGTGGTGGTAGGGATTGTGAAACAGCTTCCAGGCATAAGAGAAGAGGGGGAGGTATTTCTAGTCAATTCCTCCTCTTTCTTCCTGCTTTTAGGGGACACCCTAGACACTCTGGGGCTTGGTCCCGACTTCCACTCTCTCCAGTCCCGAATTCAATGGTCAGACTTGCATGGCACTGTCCGAGACACCTCTTTAAACAAGAAGCACAATTTATGATAAAGATGAACTACCAGGATGTTCATTAGAAGGGACAATTTGTCTTGAGTGCACAGTTTATTAATTTGAAAAAGTGAAATTTTAAAAATAATTTAAAAATAGGTCATGCCCAAAGTCTCTAGTGTATTTGAACCATGGCTCAGGACTAAACTGGGTTCTGAATTCTGGCTGTACCATGAATTTGCTTTGCTTTGTGACCTTGTGCAAAGAGCTTAGCTTTTCTTGCCCTCAGTTTCCCCTTCTGGGAAGTTGATCTCAATCTCTGAGTGCCTCTTCTTTATCTGAGATTGGTGTGATACAATCTTTCTAATTTCCCAGTATGATAAATCTGTGTGGAGGCTATGAATTGCCCCTTAAGAGTGGCTTTGACTATATTGGACAAGTCTGACTCTGTAGTGCTTTCCTTGTTCAATTCCAAATATTCAGTTGTGACCTGTCATGCCTGGTTATGACAATCAGTCTAGTCTGTTGTGACCTGGCCATGGGTCGCAGGGACACATAGTTCAGATCCTCACCCCAGGACACAGAGCAGAGCCGACGCATGGGGGCCGGTGGTTGTAAACAGAGTTTTATTGATGGGGAGGGGTTTGGGGAGGCAAACTCCAGAGCAGGTCCAGAACTCAGCTGGCCACGTGGCATGCATGGTCAGCTGGAGGTCAAAGGGGGGAGGTCACAAGGGGACGGGTGGCTTGGGACCCTCTGACCACCCTGGGGCCATATTTACAGGGGCGACTGCCCACCTCTGCCGCCCCCCTCAGACCCCCAAGCCCTTTAGACAGCTGGGTCAATATTAAATTCTCGGCAGGCCTGCCCCATCCCCTGGCTGGAACCCCCATCATACACCCCCCTTCCTTCGGCAGAGCTGGGTTCCAACTCCTGACCGGCACCCTGGAGGCCCCTGGCCTTCTGGCAGCCCCAGCGTCAGCTCAGCCAACGCGCAGGCCGCTGGGGCTGCCACCCTGCTCACACGCGGACACACACACGCACACACTGCACACGCGGCCCGCCCCATCGCACACATCAGCAGCAGCCCCCGCGAGCACGCACACGCACGCCCCTCCCGGCCCCTCGCACACAGACACGGCATGCACGCGCACACACACCCACACGCGCCCGACCTGGGCCGCGCAGGGACCTTGGTGAGGGGGCGCGGTTTAGGTCGGCGGGCCTGGCCCCCACCTCGAGGCGCCCCTCCCCCTGGCCGCCACCCCGAGAATGGAGTTGTGCAATTGGTTAGAAAACGCCAAAGAAACCAAACCTTAAAAAGAAAACAAAATCTACGCATCAGGTCAGCCTCAAATCAGAGCAAATTCCCCCCGCCCCTCCCTGCGCCCCAAAACCGTCTCAAGTGTTCGGCGACCCCAAGAGGGGCGGCGATCTCGTTGTGCTTCCGGTGGCGGAGGGAGCCCCGCGCGCGGGGCGGGTCCGGATACCCATGTGGAGCTGGCGCCCCGCCCCTGCGCTCCTGGTCCTGTGGCTGGTGCTGCCAAGGCGTCCTGGCCCGCCTAGGGCACGGGGGGCGCAGTCCTGTCTGTGCCCCCGTAGGAGAGGAGGTGCGCTAAGTCCGTGCTGGGCCGCGCGTGGCGGCCACGGGTACGGTCGCCGGACCGGCCCTCGCCGCTGTTGAAAGTGTGTGTGCGGCGCAGGGCGGCGGCTGGCGGGCCGTGGGGGCCCGGCCTCCGGAGGCTGCCCGTCGGGGGTGGGCTCCAGGGCCGAGGGAGACTGTCGCAGGCCGAGCCTGGGTCCGAGGGCCCCGTGGGCGCCGACACCACGCGCCGGCGGTCCGGGCTGGCGTGCGGGGTGAGCGGGAAGTCCGAGTGCGCGCTGCGCCCTGGGCGCGCGTATAGCCGCGCGTCGGGGGCCTCTCCGGCTGGGGGCTGCTCAGGGGCGCGGCCGGGGGCCAGCAGCAGGAGCGAGGAGGACGTGGAGGCGGACAGCAGGGGGTGGGCGTGCTCCCAGCCGCGGGGCGCGAGGGCGTGCGGGTGCGGGTGCGGCGTGGGCAGGCGCTTCTGGGGCAGTGGCGTCTGCTCAGGGGTGGGCAGCAGCCCTGAGTCGAGGTCGTGGGGGCCCCCCTGCAGCAGCGTGGCCTTGGCCCAGCCGTTCTGCATCAGCGGGGCCAGCAGGGCCTCGGGAGGACCCCCGGCGCCGCCCACGCCACCGCCGCGGTGGCCCGGGCCCGGGGCGCGGCGCTCGCCCAGCCGGCTGACGCTAAGCACGGCCTCGCCGCCGCCGTGCGCCAGGATGGCCTCCTTGTCCTTGCGGCGGGCCAGCTCGCGCCGCTCGCGGAGGCCCACGAACCAGCCCACGCTGAAGCCAGACACCACGGCGCCCACCACGAAGGCCGCCACTGACGAGGTCACCAGTAGGTTCACCGACACCAGCCCGTCGCGCTCCTCTGAGAGGCTGGCCCGCAGCACCCCTGGCCGAAGGGAATGGTCATCGAGGGCGGCCCTGAGCCTGCCTCCCCCTGTCAGCCTGGGCCTGTCTCTCTGTCCCTTGGGGCCAACCTGCCCTCTCTGTCTATCACTGGCATCTCCCTGCTCCTGTCACAGCCTGTCTCTCTGCCCACTGGAGTCAGCCTGTCCTCTTAAAGCCCATCTGTCCAAGGGCACGCCTTCAGTGTCTTCCCCTTACAGGGAGTCTGTCTTTTCCAAACCCTGTCTTTCTGCTGTCATCTCTGTGAGCCTGAGAACACTGTCCGTGTCCTTCTGTCACCCCCCTCACCCACACACCCAAATGTGGGACTGCCTGGCCCCCTACCTGATGGAGGCCAGTCTCCCCAAGAGGGTTCCCCCTTCTGGGGGTTGCTTCCCTCCCTCCCCCGTGCAGGATGTCGGCCCAGCTTGGTGTCCCCTCCCCCACTTACCTGTACAGTCCCCTAAACCTGAGGTGCTGGCCCCTGAGACGTCCTGTTCAAAGGTGGCTCTAAAGAGAGAAGAGGCAGAGTCGGCAGAGACCCCTCACAGGGCTGGGGATGGGGGAGCTAGGCTCGCCAGCCGGCCTGCCCTCGGTACCTGGTCCCAGGGCTGAGGAAGATGCAGGAGCCGTCGGGGGTCCAGCCGCAGTAGGGGTCCTGGCTGCCGATACAGTTCCTAGTGCCGAGGGAGGGGGCGATGGGGAAGTCAGTCACTGGGTCCCTGGCACAGTGCCCAGGCGCATGGACCCTGCCCCCGATACCAATGCCTGAGTCTTTACGGCTAACCTCCCAGGGGCACTCTGTAGATCCATTTCACAGATGGGTACACTGAGGCTCTGAGGTTAATTTTGCTAAGACGGAGGAACTGGGATTAGAGCCTCAGAGAGGATTCGGTCTTTTACTGGAGGGACCTGGAGCCATGGAGAGGGGGTTGTGGGGAGAGGAGGGAGGGTCCTGACTCCGGTGCTCACGTGCGCCCTCTGGTAGCCGCGTGAATGGATTTAGAGTGGTAACAACACAAACTGTGCTCCACACGTCTGTGCCCTTGATGTTGACTCTGTTGAGTGCCAGGAGGGGGACAAGGGGCTCACCGTATCGAGGACTAACCATGCATCCGCCCGCTTTCCCATTTTAGAAACAGGAAACATCCAGCATCTTCACACTCTATTCTATGACGTTTCCCCCGGGGCGGCCAGAGGGCGCCCGTGAGCACTGAGTCCAGCACATCCCTTCTCTGCCCACGTCCCTCTGGTAAAAGCCCATCCAGGTCCTCCCCACGGCCTACAGGACCCTGCACGCCCTGCCCTGCTCGCTGACCCTCTGTCACTCTGCTCCAGATATGGGCCTCCTTGCTGTTCCTTCCACATGCAGGGCCATTCTGCCCCATGGCCTCTGCACTGGCGGTACCCTTTGTCTAGATGTGTTGGGACCCTCGACGTGAATCCAGCTCTCTAACCCAGGATCCTGCCTCCCAACCTCCCTGTGTGCCTCTGCCCTGTCCCTGGAGTTGGAGGACACTCACTTCATGCATCCTGAATGCTGCTGGCAGCGGGCCACCGGCACACGGACCACACAGCGGGGGAAGGCCGCCAGCAGGCCACCCGAGGCCGCGTCCAGCTCCAGGCTCAGCAGTCGCCGCCCTGTCTTGCCTCCGCTGGACTGTCCACACCTGAGGCGGCAGGGTGATGAGTGTCGGGGGGTGGGGTCCTCCCATCTCCCTCCAATCTCCCTCCACCTGCCCCCAGTGCCCCACTTTCTGGTTCCACCTGTCCGGCCGGTAGGTCTCAAACTCCTCCAGGAAGACACTGGGCCCCGTGGCCTCCGAGGTGCTGGCATTGGGCCGGATGAGGAACTTGAGAACGGTGCCCGCCTCGGATCCCAGAAAGACCACGGTCTGGTTGCCCCAGGGGCCAGCGCCCACGTCCACAGCCACCCGAGTCAGCTGGTGCCTGTGGCCAGGGGAGCAGGGTCAGGCAGGCCCCTGGACACCCCACAGCAGAACCCATGCTGGGCCACACGGGTGCACACAGGCACAAACATGCAAACATACAGACACTAACGTGTGTGGGGGCACGAGTGCCATGGTAGACCAGGAGCCGAGGGCACATGGCCCTGGATGAACGGTCTCTGCGCCAGCCTGTCTTTCTCCCTCTCTCCCTGTCTCTCTGCCTCGGCTTCGTGATCTTCATGTTTCTCATCGCCCACAGTCTCGAGTCTCTGTTTACCGTCTCCTCCTGGGGTGCGTGTCTGTCTGCCTGTCTCCATCTCTGCATCTCATTCCTGCTCCAACTGTGTGTCTGTCCTTCCCGCCACATGTGTGTATGTCTGTCTCTCCTGGCCCTTGTGTGTGTGTCTCCCGGTACATGTGTTTCTCTCTCCTGGCATTGTGTGTGTGAGTGTGTGTGTATGTGTCTCCCGGTACATGTGTTTCTCCTGGCGTGTGTGTGTTCTGGTACATGTGTTTCTCTCTCCTGGCATTGTGTGTGTGAGTGTGTGTGTATGTGTCTCCCGGTACATGTGTTTCTCCTGGCGTGTGTGTGTTCTGGTACATGTGTTTCTCTCTCCTGGCATTGTGTGTGTGAGGGTGTGTGTGTGTGTCTCCTGGTACATGTGTTTCTCTCTTCGGGCACACGTGTGTGTGTGTGTGTGTGTGTGTGTGTGTCTCCTGGTGAAGTTGTTACTCTGGCACACATGCACGTGCGTGTGTGTGTGTCCTGGTACATGTGTTTCTCCTGGCACACATGTGTGTGTGTCCTGACACACATCTGCTTCTCTATCTCTGTGCTGGTAAGTGGACGTGCCTCCCAACCCTCTGTCTTCACTCTGGGGACCCCTCTCCCTGCCGGTGGTTCAGTGCTCGGCTTGGTCTGACCTCAGCTGTGCATCTCTGGGCTGGACAAGCGAGTGACTGTTCCTATCTCCCTTCTCCTAGTCTGCTTATACCACCCACTCCCCCAGCCTGGGTTCGCACCCTTCCCCTTGGACCAGCACGACCCCACCACCTAGGTGTCTGACCTCATCAGCGTCCGCACGATCCAGGGAGCGTGGCCTAGCGAGGGCACGGCCTCGTCCATGAGGGGGTGCGTCTTGACAAAGTTGAGGATCTCGTCGGGAAGGGCACTGGAGGTGTTGTACTGCGTGCCAGGAGTCGCACAGCATCCAGGCCTGGGGGGGCAAAGGGTGATCAGGACACACAGCTTCCACCGAGCAGCCGTGCTCAGCTCTGCCCCGAATCACTGGGGGCCTGCTGTCTGCCTACGGGCCTCAGTTTGCTCTGTCGGTGTAATGGGTACACCTGGGTTCTGAAACAGCTAAACCCCTGGGAGCCCTGCCCTGGGTCGTGGGGGCTAGGGCTCGCCTGGGCACCCGTCTCGGACCGAGGGGGCTCTCACCGGGGCCGTGGCACCTGGTCTTCCGGCACGGCCGTCCAGATGGACTCGGGGGACTTCTGCTCCCGGAAGCGGCCTTCGAACACAGCAGCCATCTGTGTCATGTCGAACGCACAGACGGCCGAGCCAGGGATGCTGGGGGCCAGGAAGGGTGCAGTGAGTGGGGGCAGGGAACAGCCTTGTCTTGGGGACCATCAGAATATTCTCTCTGACCCCGTCCCCAAACTCTGTTAGTCTGTGCCCTGAGCAGCTTCCAGCAGGCCCTCCTGTCCATTTCAGCCCATCTTCCAGAGAAACAACAGCTCTGACCTTGACCTCCTGCTCCTTACTCTTCCATGGATGGCTCCCTAGTACTTCTCCAAATAGAGTCTAAAGCTTTGGTGCCTACCTGCAAATCACAGTACCCATGTGATCTGACCCTTTACCTCCCTGCTCGCATGTCCTCCCAGGCTGGTCCCCAGCCCAGGACCAACGTCTCTCAGGGTCCTATCATATGAAGCCTAGGACTCAGGAATATCTGATGACAAAAGGCTGGACTAGCAGCAGAGAAAGGAGAGTCAGGATGAGGAGGAGGAAATATCACGTGTAGTTAATTGCCTCCACTGCCATGAGACCAGAAGAACTGAATGATGCCCAGCTACCCTTACTGAATGAATCAAAAGGGGGTGATTCTGCAGTACAGGATTTCAAATTCTCTTGGAACCCAGACTTTCTGGAGCCATGAGGCTAACCAAACCTCTAAATCAGTTAACCTGAAATAATTCTTAAAACGTAAACCAAAAACAGCCCCTAAAAGCAAATGATAAACCAAATGATTGTTAAGTTTAACTAGTGAAGAAAGTCTGCTTTGGACATTCTGCTCTTTTATGATCTACGACTATGGAATCAAATTGACAACAGCAACTCAAAAAGGTTAGATAGATGCACACCCATGTTTATGGAGGCTCTGTTCACAATAGCAAAGAGTTGGAAACAACCTAAGTGCCCATCAACAAACGAATGGGTAGAGAAGCTCTGGTATATTCACACAATGGAATACTATGCTGCATTGAAAAACAAGGAAATAATGAAATATAAAATGGGTGACCCTGGAGGACATTCTGCTGAGTGAAGTAGCTCAGTCACAAAAGGACAAATACTGCATAGTGCCACTGTTGTAAAACGGGACTGACAACAGGGTTGGGAGGAGACTGAGAGAGATGGGTTCAATAATGTATACTGCATTGAAACAGATGAGGGAGAAAACTGTTTAAAAGGGATATGTGATTAGGTATTATTGTCATGACAGGAGTCCAGAACGAAGGCTGCATAGTGGAGTGGACTTGGGGGGAGGGATTGTATAACAATGGAAGAATTCTTCTTTTACTTTTCAAAGAGAAGAAGGAACTGGGAGGGAGGGGTGGACAGGAAGAAAAACGCAACAATGAATAATGAAAATCCAAAGTCTGGAAATTTTCATTAAAATTAATTAATAACAATAAAAATATACATAAAGGAAAAAAAAGGTTAGATAGGAAGTGAAGAGACAGTGAGTTCGCAGGGGAGGAACAGCTCGGACAAGGAGAGTGAGGGTCGTAAAACTTGAACTTAATCCATGTCCCTGAATGGTACATGGAGACATGTGGGTGTTGTGTGCTGCTGTGTGTATTCTCAGTAACAACAGATTAAAACAACAAGACGGGATCTTCCCACTCAGGTGTGCTGACCAAAGGCGCCCACTCACCTATTGCTGGGGGTGGAGAAGACGGCGAGGACCACGGGCCGGCCCCCCAGGCTGACCACCCCGGTGACAGCCTGCAGCACGTTGAAGTAGAAGTGGGAGTCCCCGGGCACCGAGCAGTTGAGACGTGCCTTCAGGAAGGACGTCCACTGCTTCTCCAGAACACGCGGGGAGCCCCCCATGTCATTCTTGCACACCCGGGCCACGCGGGACACCACCACCTGGACAGACAGTGGAGAGATGGGGGCCTGAGGCCTGCAGGGTGCACTGTCCACTATGAGAGGAGAGGGGGACCTGCTCACTGTGACTCCCTGCCTGTCACTGGGCCTCTCTGGATCCCAGTCACTCCCAGGAGAAATAGGAGGGTGATGACAGTGATACTAGCTGCAAGGACCATCATCATCACTACTTCCAATGTATCAGGTGCCCACCCAGAGCTCTGTGAGAGAAGGCTGACCTCCCCACTGTCCAGATGGGAAACTGAGGCACAGAGGCAGGGAAGTGAGCAGCCAAGGCCTGACTGGAGCAAATGGCAGCGTCTGAGCTCTTAATTCCTACCTCACTGGTTAAATGGATGGATGGACGGATGGACGGAAGAATGGATGGATGGATGGATGGATGGATGGATGGACGGACGGATGGATGGACGGATGGATGGACGGAAGAATGGATGGATGGATGGAAGGGAGGATGGATGGATGGACAAGTAGGTGGACAGAGAGAGGGAGGGATAAATAGGTGGATGGGTAAATGGAAGGACAGGAAGTCGGGGAAGGGCAGGTAGATGGGGGTGGAGAGAGAGATGGATAATGAATTAAAAGGACAGATGTGATTGGATAGATGGGTGGAATGGCGGTGGATG